TTGATCAACTTTGGTTGCCACCAGACTCAGACTGAATTTCATCACTGCAGTTGCTAAGCATAAAATTGCAAACATTTTGTTCCTCCAGCTTAGTTTGCATGAAGCTCAAAAAGAAAGCATATTAAAATGTTGAGCATGCAATGCTACAACAACTTAGGATTTTAGATTTCTCCCTAGAGACACAAACATCAGCTCTCTAGATATTGCAACTTAACTTTAAGGAAAGATCCAAACCAAACCAAGACAAAAACCATTTAAAACAGACTGCAGTTCAGATGGAAGAGGAAACGAAATCATCTTCTCGACTCACTCCCTTGTGGGATAACTCTTTTCAGCCCATCGTGTTTGTGACAGAAGCGTTGCACTAGGATACAGCCAAGCCTCCGTCCCTGCACAGTTGGGAAGAAACCTCCTTGCGACCGTTTCTCACCTCGGTGGGCCTCTCCAGCTACTCGGCTACTCTGAGCTGAGCGGGAAGGAGCCAGTCTGTCCCCGCGTCGGTTCTTTGGGGACATTCATATTAGCACCCACCTGAGCTCCGCTAAGGCTGAAGCACATCGTCTGCCTTCAGCTGATGCAGTGACCTCACTGGGCGCTCAGTCAGGTAGAAGCGGCAGCCTTTACTAGTCTGTGCAGCGCCTTCCGTAGGAATATTGCATGAGTCAGCTTTTATCTCTCAAACCCAACACACAAAGGCTTTACAAAAACCTGATTTGCAACTTTCTCACTGCCTTTTTCCCCTAGTGTGCAGACCACAGACTTCAGCATCACTAAGAGCCTTAAATGAAACATGACATCATTCAATTGAGAAACAGGACAATAGACACCACTGTGGGTAACTTGAAAATGCACACTTCACTGAGCAACACCCTACGACTTCCATTCTTTTGTGAACATCAAATACAACCCACACTCGCCTAAAGCTGCTTGGGCTTTACCTTCCCGGCTCTGGTCACGGTTCTCATTAAACTCCCTCCACAAAATAAGCAAGATCTTTGGAGCTCTGATATTTTCAAGTTCAATTTCTGAACTATGAGTTTGTTTTAAAGTAAATGGACACATCTTTAACATAAATTTTAAAATGACATTCTTGGGTGGGGGTGGGGCAGTGAATAACACCCAGTTGAAGGCAGTTTGGAGAATTAGTTTCTGTTAACATGACGCTTAACAGTGTTTTCAGCAAAGTTAAACATGAATACATTTGACATTTTAAAAAATCTGAAGGCAAATACCTAAAATCAAAATGTATAGGCATTTCTTCGGAAAACAGTCAAGTTCTATGATTTTATATGTTTAAATACTAAGTAGTAAAGACAGAATGATCTAATATTCCCACAACACTTTAGTAAGTGAGACCTTCAAATTCTTTGGGGTTTTCAATTTCCCTATGGCCACCTGTCCTTCTTAAAAATGCTATACTATTTTTATATAAAGATTCAAAAGGTTTATATTTTAAAAAGATATTGAGTTCTTTAAATGAAGGTCTCCAGAAGTACAAAAATGCTATTGAAAACTGATACCACTGTACCATGGAACTAAAAATCAAATTATAGATTATGTCCATGTATAGACACCTAAAACTAAACTATTTCAAAGGATTCAAGTCCTTTAAATAGAAGTTCCATTTAAAGCGTTCATTTGTGGTTGTGGAAAATAACATTAGCGGATCGTCTTTAATATAGTTATTTCTATCAGGCCTAAGTGATTTAAAATTAACAACATAATAGGATAATTTGTTTTAATGCCTGTTACCTTCCAAATAAGGCTGAACCTACATAGGGCTACTTAAATAAGTCATTTTGATGGAACTGCATCAGTCAGTTCAGAAGACAATTTGTTGGGAATGATTTCTACCCCCAAAATATATACCAGTTTGATAGAAATCACTAAACCAAGGACGCTGAAAAGGCAGTTTGAGAGGAAGGATCTCCCCCAGACTATTGAGACTGTGTCTTAATCCTCCATTCTGACCTCCACAGCGACCTCTCTTGCCTTCCAAATGAAGTCTGGGTGTCCCCCATGGCAGCGCCCAAGCAGCCAAGAGTCTGCTCAACCAAGAGTCGACTCAAATCCCTGCCAATCTGCTACAGCCGCTCCAGTGCACTGCTCTTTCCATTAATTAAACAGCTACTTATTACACTTTGAAGTACCACGTGGTCTCATACGTGATCATTTTCTAATGGTCTCTCTCCTACCCTGCATTGGCTGCTGTGGGGGGAGGGACCTTTCCTATACTGTAGATTTGATATTCTCATGGAAGATACAAAGATCTAAACTCTTAGATGGGGTGGAACATACAGAGGCTTTCCGCTTCCTCTTGACTCATTTATTGTCTGGCATATCCTCAGATCCCAAGTATTAATAGTTACTTTCATCTTCCAATAAGAATATTATTGTATACTTAGATATCTTTTATTTTTGCCAAGAAACATGTTTGTAAAAAGTCATTTCTGAGAGACACTGTGTATAAGTAAACAATAACACCAAAGCTGCTTTGAGTTTGGACAGTGGGCAGTCAGTTGTGCCTACCCTGTGAACAAGTGATAGTCCGGAAGGACAGCTTCAAAGTGACTGCACAGGCCATATTTGGTCCTATGGCACAATTATTTGTTAGTGCATCCACAATTCCTGCTTTAGCAAAATCATCAACTTGTATATGTAAGACACCCTTATCACTTGCAAATAATTGAAACCCCCTATATTGCACTCACAAATATCAAGGGCTTAAAGTATTTTGAATTTAGTTTTTACAGCTGTAAGCTTTTTCAAAGCAGAGAACACACACACACACACACACACACACACACACACGCATGCACATTTTTGCCTTTATATTTATGCCAGTACCAAGTATTTTCATAAATGAATTAACCAATGAATAGTGCAGGAGCCCTGCACACACTAGCAGAGAGGAAAAGCAAAGGGAAGAGAAAGGTATTAATGCATTTCTTGAGCAACATTCAAGGTTCTTTCACACCTGAAAGCAGAGGAGCCCTTTGCACCTCAGTGTTTTCTTAAGGCCTGAGTTTGCTGCACTTCAGCTCTGTGATGGTTTTGCATATCCCAGTCCTTCCCCTCTCCTATTCCACATGCTGGATACCTGGGACTATTAACAGTTCTTGGAGGTGCCCTGCTGTCTTACCATTGTTCATGCAGGAAAAGAAAAAAGTCCTAAGACACACAAGAGGCACAAATGCTGGTATCCTTGTCACTGCTTAATTTATTTGCCAATAGTAACACTGGGTGAAAACATTATTTTTGCTCAGCAAAATTTCTTTTTAAATGATAGTGAGAGTGGCCACCAATGAAAGGAACATGTAAGCCTTGTTAGGCAACAAAGGTACCCTTACTGGAAAGCAGCTCTTTTCACTTCCCTCCCATAACCAGGAGGAACAGGTGCAATTCTCAATGTCCCCATCTGGAATGGGGGATCGAGGCACGGAAGCGCAGTGCCCACAGGATATGTCTGTAGCAACCAGAACACAAACCAGCCGGCAAGGAAAGTGCAGGCCAGCCTTGTGGCCTAATTGGAGGAAGACCAGAAAGTCTCCACCATTTAAACAATCCCTTCTCAGAAGTCTGCCATAGGGCCTGGAATTCTACTCTTAAAAACCAACTCTTTTTAGCTCAAGGTAAAAGACATCAGTTAAAAACCACTGTATCCCCTTGGGAAGGGTTATAGAGTCATTGCCACAGTAGTGTGAATTAGCCTGCTCACCCTTCCAAGGACCTACCCAGGTTTTTTAGGAATGAGCCCACAAAGGGGAGGGTGAAGGCAGGAAGCATAGACAGCACACGGTTCTAGGGACTCACAAGGCCTGACCTAATTGAGACATTCTGCAGACTTTGCAGCCAGGCAACAGCTCAAAAAGCTGGGCAACGAAGGAGGAAAGAATGGCCTGAGAGAGGAAGAAGGGCAAAGGCATGCATATATTTTTGGGTTCAAGGAAAGATTTTGCTTCACATAACATTGGATAAGGCAGATTTAGAAAATAATTGTACCTTTTCAGATACAAAGGTACTAGAAGTTATAAAGGGTATTTTAAGACATAAATACATTTTACACACAGAACACAATTGAAATGCATGGTGGTGGTGGTGGGGTGCTCTTTATCTTGTGATTTAAGATATTGCCATGGTGGCATATTTTCCAAGGCCAGTGGTAAAACCAACTATTTTCTGAAGCACAGGCCACTGACAAAACATTCTTAATATATTCTTGGTCTATAAGAACTTTTTTCTTTGAAAGAAAAAGGCATGAGACCACATTTTCTAAGAGCATACCACAGAATAAATATAATATTAAGAAAACTGCATGCCAAAAGGTGTCACACATCTGCATTGAAGTCCCTTAGAAGGACACACTGACCTTCCTCCTGAAAGTGAGAGAGACTGTGCTAACACTCTTCTGCATTGCAGTTGTTATTTATTAAAAATCTATACACTCTTTAAACAGTCTACTCCAAACCAGGAAAATGTCACCAACTATAAATTCTGCCTTACTGCTGTTATACCAACCAAATTCTGCCTTACTGTTATTATACCAACCAACACACTTTGTCAAACAAAAAAAGCTAACCTGGTGTTTTGCTTTCTAAAGGGTGCTTTTTCCAAGTGAAATAATTTTAGTGGCAAGGCAGTTTGTTTTCACAAATTTAAAAAATATTTACTCTCAGCAAAAGACATAGGTCTAAGCTAGACAAAAGCACTCAGAAGTATGGGAGAAATTAAATGAAAGTATTTTTTGTTAGTCCTGGAGTACTGCATCTAACAATAGAAACTGAACTATACATACTAAATAGTTACCAGTATTCAAACCATCCAACTGAAAACATAGTTTTTCTCAGCTCCTATTGCACTAAATGTCAGTATTGAGCCATGGTCATAAGAATTCTGGAAAACAAACAAACAAACAAACAAACAAACAAACAAAGCCTATTATTCACAATATCCTTTCCTTGCAATCAAGTTACGATTTCACTTCTCCATCGTATACCTACCTCCATTCAGCCATGAAACGGAACTGAGATGGCCTTGAAGGGCACACATTCTGGGACTCTAAAATCTTGCTCTGTTTCAGGCATTCCTCCGTGGGTTCATCTTTCTGCTTCTATGACAATCATTAGCTCTATTTTTCACTCTGTTCTTTTATTAGGCTATTTGATGATGAAATCAAGTCTTGGTTTTTTTTGAACTGAACAATTTTTAGATATCAAGCAAGCAAATATGTTGCAACTAGTCTCTTGCTTTCAATAATCTATCCGTCCCATCTTTAAGGACACCAATGGAGGACTTGCTGTGCTAAGCACAATGAACTAATTATCCCTGAAGAATGCAGTCCGTTTCCAGACACATTTTTCTCCAGGAGATAACACACATCTAATCCATTCATAACTAAAGGCATTCAACACAATCTATACTTTTGAAACACTCTAAAAAATGTACTCGAACTTGCAGAAAAGGCTTGGATGCTCTGTTGAAATCCTGCAGCAGTGTGCATTTTCCAAAATACTAATTAAAAGAAGAATCTCTTACAGTTTCAGAGTAACAGCTATCAAGGCTCATAGCCTTTCTGTGAGCTTGCAAAACAATTTCCCATCCTGGCAGAGGTGAGAGGCAACCCCATTTGCTAGGCTTTCCTCCTCTTTCTGGGCACAGCTCCACGGCTGCCAGGGGGCAAAGGGGAGGGCTCAGCTCAACATGGCCGGCTGCCCCCACCCCCTCCCATGGACCCAGTGACGGTGGGTTGAGAGAGGCAATTCTCAAATGCAACAGAGGAGAGAATTAGTTTGCAGGGAGACACAAGACACAGACAAGCTGCTTGGAGCAAACATGAATGAATCAGTCTCTCAACCAGTTCAGGACTTCCTCCCCCTCCCCCAAGCAATTCCTGTCCTTCGGGATCATCATAATCAGTCATCTTCCTCCACTCCCAAAGATATGTTCAATGTCACAGCAGTTGACAGCTTAACCTCTAAGATGTATGACCTGTGAACAAATGAATTTATCTCAGGGAGACTATATAATTTCTAAAACTGAAGTGGGTGGCTTGAGCTTATTTGGCCTCCTGCACCAAGGCATGGGAACGATCCCATTCAGGCAGAGATTTTCAAAAGGCCAAATATAGTTTCCACTCCAGGAAAGCATAATGTATTCCTCTCTAAATGAGTTGAGATGACTTACTACTTTCCAGGATTTTTTTAAACTAAAGGTAAGGAAGGCTGCTGCCCTTCGTATATTAGCATCACAACAGTCTTAAATACCCATCTGTTGCCATGCACACTGATCTGTGCCCTTCAGAACAGTGGCACAAGCACAGAACAACTGCTGGTCCTTCTCCCTTCACACCTTCTTTCTACTTGAACTAACAACATCAACCATTCACTCACCCTCGCTCACAGGGACCTACTAAATGCCAGGCTCCGTGCTGGGCGCAGTGAATAGACGTGGGCTTTGCCTTCTTGGAGCTCCTGTCAAGTAGGATTGGACAAGCCCCAGACACAAAATGACAAGTGTGACCAGGGTTAGGAGGCGGTGTGGGACACTACAGATGGAAACTGCCAAGAATTGTGTACAGAAGCATTTGCTCAATTTTTCTATCTAAACTCTCTTTCCTCTGTTCTCAAAAACCGCCCTTCAATTAATATTAAAAGTGGATAGTAACTTTATGTTGACCATAAAACCAAGCTAAACTAGGTTGCCTTCACTTGGAATTCCCATTCCAGAGTATGCCCAGTTGGACTCATCTTTCATCTTATATTTAATTACTTAGTATCCGAGCCGAGAGCCAAACTTGCTGAATGTTTTTTGTGAGTCTAAACACTTGCCTAATTCCCAGTTCCCACAGAGGTACATGAAGTAACTTGTTTATGTTACCAGAACAAAGGAAAGGAAAAAGAGCTCTCTGTTCAACTGCAGGTTTAATCTTAATTAGGTCAAGAAACAAGTGTAACCAAATTTATTTTTGTTTATTCTGAATAAAAATTATTAAATCCTTTATAAGGATAGGAAAGAAGAAGAAAAGAAAGAGAAAAAGCCAAAACATTGAGACAAGTGATTTGAGAAGTGGAATTATGGATGAGTTCTTTCCTGCATACTTTGATTTAGTCTCTGCATTTTCTTTAATGAATATGTATTATTTGTGTAATTAAAATATAAGAAGAACAAAAAGAATTTCTGGGATGAGTATTCCCCACGTCCCCACCTTTCCTGACCCTGCTCTAGCCAGAGGTCTGCCCACCTGCTTCCTTGCTCTATACCTTTCAAGGGGGGTTGGCTAACAGGAGGCACTGGGATTTAGAAGCAGGAAGAGAGGGAAGTAGGGGCATTTCCTCTGTTCTCTCGTTAGTTATTAGGGAGCAGCCCCCCATGGTTCTAGCTCTCACTGGGCTTCCTTAACTCTGTTTTGTCCCCTGGTCCCTCAAGGGTCCCTGCAGGTTGTCCCAGAGAACAGTGGCCAAGGCTTCCTGCTGTTCTGTCTGTCCTCACCTCACATCCCTCCCCCTCCCCCACCAAGGAAGGAGCCCCTTCATTAAACCCTTCATTTGAACCAGCTGAGCTAATTCAGTTTTTGCCAGGGCTCTGGCTGATGCATTGCCATACTAACTCCAGAATCTTTGGTCTAAAAAGTTGATTTAGTCAGAATGGTGACCTGAGCTTTTTACTCGGTGGTATAATGTCAAATTTTAGCCCCCTATGACTGATGGCCTACTTGACTCAGGGCAATGAAATAAACACGTAAGTAGAGTCTATGTTATGCCAGAAACATATTTTGAGTTTGAAATCTACTGATATATTCATTTATTCAATATTTACTGAGCAGCTACTATCTGCCTGGCACTGCCTTAGGCACTAAAGATACAGCAGTGAATAAACATCCCTGCCTCTATGATACATGTATTTATTTATTTATTTTTGAGACAGAATCTCATTCTATTGCCCTGGCTAGAGTGCCGTGGCGTCAGCCTAGCTCACAGCAACCTCAAACTCCTGGGCTCAAGCGATCCTCCTGACTCAGCCTCCCGGGTAGCTGGGTCAACAAGCATGCACCACCATGCCTGGCTAATTTTTTAAATATATATATATATATTTAGTTTTCCAGTTAATTTCTTTCTATTTTTTAGTAGAGATGGGGTCTTGCTCTTGCTCAGGCTGGTCTCGAACTCCTGAGCTCAAATGATCTACCCGCTTCAGCTTCACAGAGTGCTAGGATTACAGGCATGAGCCACCATGCCTGGCCTATGATGCTTATTTTTTAGGAGGGAATATATGGACTAAAATCCTATGATAACAAGATGTCAGTGTTGGAAAGATACTTTGGGGCATTCTAATCTAACTCCTTATCTAGTGTTTGAATTACCACTTTCAACATCTCACCAAGCATGTCCAGTCTCTAGATACTCTTACAGGGCATTCGATCCCTGCTCAGATAATTGATCACACTGAGGAAGTTTTAATCTTTAAGGTACTTTCTCACATGGAGCTGAAGTTCTTTAAGGACCAGCACAGGAAAACACAAGAGAAATCACACCTTACCTCTGTTAATATTTTGTAATTCCTTAATTATCTGAGCTCTGCTATGGGTTTCCCGTATGTATTTGCCTCTTCATTCAAATATTTATTGAGGACCTGCCCCTAAGGGACTCCTGGAGCCAGGGTTCAATGGCAGGGGTCAGGGTAGGGGTGGGGGCCAAGGGGGACAGCTGTCCCTTGTGGTTGTGGGGACTGTGGGATAGTCCATACTTCCAACCACTCTCTCGTCACCTTCTCCATGTGTCTCAGGATCTTGCTGTCCTTTGGCTTCTACCAAAGTGGTTTCAAAATCTTAACAACCCTCATGCCAACCTACCACTGTAAAAAATGTTGAAAAGACATCTTATTTATTTATTTATTTTGAGACAGGGTCTCACTTTGTTGCCCAGGCTAGAATGAGTGCTGTGGCGTCAGCCTAGCTCACAGCAATCTCAATCTCCTGGATTCAAGCAATCCTACTGCCTCAGCCTCCCGAGTAGCTGGGACTACAGGCATGTGCCACCATGCCCGGCTAATGTTTTCTATGTATTTTAGTTGGCCAATTAATTTTCTTTCTATTTATAGTAGAGACAGGGTCTTGCTCTTGCTCAGGCTGGTTTGGAACTCCTGACCTCGAGCAATCTGCCCGCCTCCGCAAGACATCATTTTTAGAGAACATCCTCTGGGAAATAAATATTCTCCCTGCTCCTCCCAAGTCCTACCTTTAGATCCATCAACAGCACTCTGTCCTCAGGGGGCACAGAGTTTGGCTGGGCAGACACTGAAGGGTCGCCTGGGCAGGAGACGGACTGCTGCATGAGATTTGCACCACATGCGGAAGGCACAGGTGCATGGACACATGTAAAAGGGACCAGGCCTGGTGTGGGGCAGTCTAGGAAGGCTTCGCTGAGGAAGGGATGTGTGAACTGACAGCTGAAGGCTGAGAAGAAGTCAAGTAGGGGAAGCTGGGAGGAAAGAAAAGCCCATCCAGGACTTTTACCTGCTGTCAGCATCGGCTGCTGGCGCACCTGGCCTTACTCCCACAGTGACCATCAACCTAGATTCTTTTCCTGGGCAATCTTGTTTGCAAATATACTGTTGCATCCCACAATTAATAACTATGTTTACTGAACAATGCCCCTTTATTAAAGTATCTTCTGCCTTCCTTCTCCACTCTGGAGGGAGCCTGTGCTCTAATCTGCGTATATCAGTCTCTTCTCAGCTTTTCTCCCTCCTCCAGACGGTGGGCAGAGCTGCCTGGGCAGTCACTGTAACTTTGTTCTTGCCCAATCACTTGGACAGGGTCCTTATAAGGTGTGGTCACAGTAAATCACAATGTAAACTTCCCTGCCCTGCATTTTCATCTAGGTATAATCAGATTAAAATGAACATCAAAGGAGCCCCAAAAGAAGGGGTCACAAAAGGACAGAATGGGGGAGGGCGTGGTGGTTACGCCACCATTTGTCTTGCCATTTCTACAGGCCTTAGGCACTGACGGTGTGTGTTTGTGCCATGAGTATTTCCCAGGACCAGCTGGTCATCTTTTCCAGGGGACCCAAACCCAGGGACGACTGCCTGGTTGTCGATATGGCTATAGACGTAGGACATCTGCGTAGGAGTCTGTACAAATTACGGTGTAACAAAATGGCAAAATGTAACCAATTAAGCTGCTCTAAGAGTACTGAGGAGCTATGTTTTCACAATGACTGTTAGTTATCAGCCTTGTAAGTTAATAATAAAAACCAGCCCCAAAGCTGAACGTACTGTGTTTGATCTAAACCATCGTTTACTGCTCGTAAAATGATGTGTGGAAAGGACGCGAGATCTGGAGTTGAGATGTGTGGAATGTCAGCTCTACCAGACAATTTTGTCCTCTCGGGCAAGTTGCTAACGTCTTTGTGTTCCAGACTGTTTGGATTAGTAGAATGAACGCTCTGGAGTCTCTTATATTTAAGAACACTTGCCAGATTTAGGAATCTGAGATTCTATGATTTGGGGTGATGGGTCCTACTGAGACCCACTTCCTAACTCCACAGACAGTCTTTCTGGAGGTTCTCAAATAACTTTAGAATCTTAAACTGGTTCCACTATTATAGTCAGATAACCATAAACTGATGCAAAACCCAGGAGCGTGTGGCCTTGGTATAGGGAAACTGCTTTCAACTGCTTGTAATTCCTTAGGTGGCAGAATTTGTGATAGATATCCTAACGATTATGAACGGAAAAACTCCCTACAACATTTTTCAACAACATCATCTAATAGTGGACCAACATCTAGCATGCAGGTCATGCTTTTTACCTATTCACTGACATCATCTCCACTTTCTGCAAAACTGCATTCTGGAAACCAGGTTATAAAGTAGATTATGAAATAGCTCATTTTACCACGGGGTCTTGTGGAATCTATAGTTGCACCCCAACCAAGTACCTGCCCTAACATACCTCTGGAATAGTGGTAACATAGACGTGGAGCTACACAACTGCAAAACTTATGCTCCTACAATACACAGACAGTATAAATGATGGTCTGTTCTAAGTTATTCAAGAAGCTCTTATATATTACATTTATATACAACGATGATGATTACCACAAACTCACTGGAATGGGGTGTTCTGGTTGAGCCTCCACAGAGATTGGGTGGGTGAGGCTGGAAGACTTTGTAACTGTCCCCCAATTGGATTTACTTGCTGTGATTGACTGACTGACTGATTGATGATTGATTTTTTTCAAGATGGCCCTGGAAAAAGAACTCTGACATTATCTAAAGCCAGAATTCCAATATTTTCAGGCATATATCACAGATTCAATGTGGGGAGCGGAGGGTGGGGCAGGGGGGTGAGAGATCTGGTGGCAAGAATAGACTTGGTGGCTCTGGGAGAGACGAGGGGGAGGATGTCTGGCAGAATGAACACAATGAGCAAAAGGCCGTGCCAGCCAGGGAAACACTGGTTTCTGATTTTGTGTGTGGCATGTCCTTAGGCTGGCCTTGCCCCCCCCCCCCACCGGGACAGCCTTTGGGTCCCCTGACAAAGGAGAGACGGGGTAGCCAAAAAACAAAAACAAGAATATAACAACTGTAACAACCCAGGCGACTGGGCTGTGAGACCCTTCTCTCCAACTGAA